CCCCGCCGCGCGCCCGCCTCCCGCCGCCGGGGGCAGCGTTTGTCGCCGCGGCCCCTCAAGTCGCCTCCGGCCCGACGGGGCGGGAAGAGGGAGCGAGTTGGGGAGTGAGCGCCGGTGTGACCGCCGTAACGGCGCCCTGCTCCCGGGTCTCCCGTTTGGTATTATTGGCGGCGGGGGCCTGGCGTCCCGTGTTAGGAACCGGCCCCACTGAGGAACAAGCCGCGGCGGGCGGGGGCGGCGCCGCGTGTGTGCACGCGCCCCTCCGGGGGTGAGCTGCGCCCGCGGGAGCCGCCCGCTGAGAACGGGCACTAACGGTGGCGTCGACAGAGATAATTCGAACGGTTAAAAACGGGCGGGTCCACAGCCGCCCAAAATGGTGTCTCGTTGTTCGGGTGCTCGCAATTCGGGGCAAGATTAGAGGAACCGGTGCGTGTTGTGCTCCCAGAGCCCGCCAGCCCGGCCTGAGGGGTCTGGGGCACAAGTCTTATGGGGGCGGCTGAGGGAGCTGGGGGTGGTCAGCCTGGAGAAAAGGAGGCTGAGGGGAGACCTCATCACTCTCTACAACTCCCTGAAGGAGGGTGTAGCAAGACGGGGGTCAGTTCCTTCTCCCAAGTAACAAGGGATAGGACAAGAGGAAATGGCCTCAAGTTGCACCAGGGGAGGTTTAGGATAGATATTTGGAAGAATTTCTTCACTGGAAGGGTTATCACACATTGGAACAGGCTGCCCGGGGAAGTGGTGGAATCACCATCCCTGGAGGTACTTAAAAGATGTGTAGATGTGGTGCTTAGGGACATGGTTTAAGGGGTTTTTTTCTCAGGTTGATGCTTGGACTCCATGATCTTAAAGGTCCCTTCCGACCCGGCCCATTCAGTGGTTCTATGAAGACAGTATCTCCAGATCTTGACATCATCAGTTACATCATCACATGGGGCAGATGTCATGGAGCTGATCCTGCAGCAACTGAGTAACTTAACAGGGACTGTGCAGTTCCCATCCCAGACTTTGTCTGGAGGGTTAATCAGAAGTTAATCTGTTGCTCTACTATAGAGAGGGCATGGGGCTGGGCTAACTAGAGGAAGAGGAGAAGGAGCAGGACAGTGGGGGACACCAGGGGTGTCTGCATGTCAGTTCAGCCCCAGTGAGCTCATGAGCTCACACAGGCCCCTTAGGACCCGGAGCAGCTCTGTGCATCTGTCTGGGTCCATGCTTGAGCTCACCAGCCCTCCAGCCCTGCCAGCTGTTGAGGACACTGGAAGGTGCCAGCCCAGCTTTGGAGGTTCTTGTGTGGCACCGACGTACGTGTGCTCTCTGTAGAGGAGCTGAACCTCCCAGAAATCCACACAGGGAGCCTGCCTTGCCCTTCCCTACCCTGCTGAAGGCTGGAAATGGAGACACCCCAGGCTCTCTGGCAACTGACAACATCTGCTGGCTTCAGCGCTCTTCAGCTTGAAAACGCTGTATTTCTTCCAGACCCAAGCTGACCTGAAAAATCAGTGTGAATGAATTTGTGCAGTGTCAGACCGTAGTTACCCCTAAAAGAAAATCTTACAGAAAAATTACTTGTTTTAAACAATGTGTTTACTTAGCTTTTCTTATTTGAGCCTCTAGAGCTTACGCTCCCTAAGCTTGCTTTGAAAATACAAAGCGTAAAACTTCTAGCGAATGAATAAACATCAGAATTTCCCACAAACCTGCCATTCGAGAAGCTGGAGGTTAAAGAAAAACCTAGAAAGAAAACATCATTGCAAGAGCAAGCAGTATTGCTCGGCTGTGAATTCAGAAATGCACGAAGCTGGAGGTTAAAGAAAAACCTAGAAAGGAAACATCATTGCAAGAGCAAGCAGAAATGCATGTGCTAAAGCAGAGCTGGGTAAAGATGGGCCTGGGGAGTTGAGTTCGTCAACGCTAATTGTACTAGGCTGAAGGGAAGCGTTAGGCAAATACAGTTTATGGAATTGCCTGTGGACTGAGGAAAGTTCAGTGGCCTGTGCCCGGCCATGGGTCCTGCTGGTCCTGACTGACCAGTGGGCAAAAGTGCTGGCCTCACTTGCCTCTGGTGCCCCCCATCCCGCCCTCCTTCTGGCTGGGGTGGTGGGACCAGCCCTGGCTGGTGAGGTCCTGCCTGGCAGCTCCCAAACGTCCCCACCACTCCCTGCCTCATGGCTTCATGGCAGATGTACTCTTTGTAACAAGTCTTTGCCATATTCTCTATATATTCTCTTAGGCATATTAAAAAGTATGAGATTGTATAGTAGTAGACAGAAGGAAAGTTTGGGCTGAGGTAAAGATAAAATCACCTGCTAGTAGGTCCTGATTGCACTTCCCACCCTGCACTCACAGATTCATATTCATATGACCTTGAGGAAGAAGAATTTTCAGAGAAAAGACCACCTTAACCCCCTGCAAGCCCCCGACAGTCCGACAAAACAGGACATCATGTTGCATGGCACTCGCTTGTTCCCCCAGGGAGCTGGCGAGAGAGCATTTGATTTACGAGAACTTAATTGTGTTTAAGCACAGTTGTGTGGAACTGAGTCTAGTTGCTTGAAAGATTACTTTTCTCCCTTTGATACACCGCCAAGTCAAACTCCACAGAGATTCACACGTTTGAGCTCTGCAAATGAAGTATGAGGAAGCAGCTGGCAGGGCATTCATTCTCTATGATGGATCCCCAATTTTGGAAAGCTGTGTCCACCGTTGTCCACCAGAGCCTGGGTTTGCTTACCTCTGGAAATGCAGCAAAGCCCATCACTTTTTTTCTTATTTATTAAGACTATTGGAGAGTTTGTTTTGAATTGGAATGTTTATGGGTTTTGCTCATGCCTGATTTTTAAATTTCACAGCTGAGATCCAAGGCAGGCACTTGTATTTTCAAACAATAAATTTAATTGACTCCCACAGTCATGGTAATGTCTGAATTTAGGTAGGGTTTTTTATTCACACTGGACAACTTTGTGGTGGCTATTGCATCAATGAATTAAATTTTTACCAATTTGTAAAATTTTACAAATTATTGCCTGAGAATTTTCGTCCTTCCTTATTTTCTCTCAGTTCCTTCTTTCCTCCCTTTCTTTCCTTTGATCAAAGAGCACAAGCTTACACAAAACTTCAGCAAAACAAAGTACTAGGCTGTGCAGCAGATAAGCAAACTGCAGAATTTATTACTCTGCACAATCACTGAAGCAGTTCTATAGTGAATTTAAAAAACTGAGTGGATACTTTTAGCAATACAGCAGAGCTAAGGCAGGCTGTGCTGCCTGTACCAGCTATGTGTATCTATATCTATATCATCTATATCTATCTCTCTGTAAGTCTATAGACTTATATAAAAGGAGAACTCAATTTCCCAAGGCTGTAGTTCTTGAGACTTTGTAAAAATTACTTTTGCTAAAAATAATTAATGTTTCTAGGATGAGTAATTAACATTCATTCTTCTGGGCTTATGCTGATGGCCTCTGAGGAAATTTGAAGATCTATTTTTCTACGTACAGCAGTAAGTAACTGGCAGCAACGTACTGGGTCATTAGGGATTGAACTTACTTTTTTGGGTGGTGGTTCTTTTTCAGCTTGCTATTAAGTGTTTTTTTCAAAGTGTTTTTTTTTCAAAAATGTTCATTTTCTATTTTACCTACCATTGCAAATGTGTTCTGAGTGCTTTATGAAATGTCTTTAAAAAATGTTTACATTTATTTTGAAAATGAAATAAAAATTCAAGTTCTCATGTTTGCCCCTCAGCATTTGTAGTTTTCACTGTTCTGTACATTCCACATATAGTATATTGTCTTACATTCTCCAGAGAACATCCCATACGTACCACTTACGCTCTGGACATGGTCCTGCTTTCAAAAGTTATAAACTGGCTATGCTGACTTGAGAGCTTTCACCAAAAAATATCTTTAAGCTTCTGTGACAAAAGCTTGTGGCAATGATGTAGCAGTAATGACAACGGTTTTCTGGGACCACCTGGCAAGAACAGAACTCTTAAAGCTTCTCCTTCATCTGCAGTTCTGAATTTAGGTGGGATACGTCGGCACAACTTATTTAGTGGTAAGGAAGATGCAGTCTTATAACTCACCCAGAAAAATCCTCTTAGCCTCTGAATTATAGTACATAAAAGAAAGTATCCTTGACAGTACTTGATTTTAGTAGTTATGCAGCTAGAAGGAAAATGTTTTGACAGTACTTGATTTTAGTAGTTATGCAGTATGTCTCTGCAGCTAGAAGGAAAATAGTTATCTCCTTTGGCTTCTGTTCGTCTTGTGAGGTGAAAGAGTCATGTATGTTCTACAGAAAGTTTAGGTTAGAAAAAGGCATGCACTAGAATAATTTCTTACGAGCATCCTAATTAAATCAGGAAGAATGACTGTGTGCCTAGTTTAATTGTTACAGTATTTATTTTGAAAACAGTCTGTGCCATTATTTTTATCTAGCACTATGGCAACAACCTTCAAAACATAACTATGTATCTTGAAAGCATCTCCAGGAATTCCAATAGATAGCTTTTGCATATGTGTTCATTAGAAACCTTGAGGAGAACATAGTCATTGGCACATCACTGGAATTGCTAAATAGATATAT